CAGATGGAACAGAAGCATAACGGAAGCGGCCGTTGAAATACGTGCAATCAAAATAGTCCAGTAGGTAGCGATGTCACCGGTAGACTTTTTCCTGGTGGTCAGCTCTTGTGGAACAAGCTGTGGTGGAAGGAACCCGAGCCTATCTAAAATCCCGCACAATTTTTGAAATTGGTCATCTGTCTTCTACTTTTCCAAAAGGCCGAACTCCCGTTCTTTCACAGTATTTTTTAAAAAATCTCAACTCAATGGTGGATGAGGTACAAGTTCTCCTAAAAATGGTCCAATGTCCATTGCGTCCGCACTTTATTTCAGCCCGTGTTTCGCCCGGATAGTAAAAAAAAAAGAAATCGAGGTGAGCTTTTGTCCGGGTCTGTCAAAAAACGGGTGAGCTTTTGTCCAGTGAGCTTTTGTCCGGTGAGCTTCTGTCCGGTGAGCTTTTGTCCGCTGAGCTTTTGTCCGGTTACCGTCATCAGCTGACGTGAACATGACCCGCTGCTCTGGTGATCCAAAACCCAGGAAGGAGGCCAGACGTGGCCTCGCTAAGCCGACCCAGACCTCGTACACCTGAGACTCGTCTCGAGCGCGCTGTTTCTCGGAGAGCTCGCACCTGTGCCGGCAATATCAGGTCGCAATCCACAAAGTCTCTGTTTGGATGATGCTAGACGAAACTTGAGGACTGCAGTCTATGCGTCGGTAGCGGAGGTTCGGCAGGAAGAACCTTCACAACAGGGATGTCACCGTATACTATAGCGTTTTCGCAACCATAAAAGAAAATAAGACATGTGTTCCCGATGCTTTAGGTGGTCCACTATGCTCGAAAATTCCATCTGATAGTGCCTACACGATCTTCAACGAGGTAACCTACCAAGAGAGTACGTATTGTCCTTTCATACAGCAGCGTGGTAAAGTTTCATGTTCAAGGCCAAACCTACAGATAAAGAATACCAGTTCATTCCACCGCGACGCCATGTGATCAATGTTGACAGGGGTGTCCTTATTGAACAGGGGTGTGTTGGCGTTTTGAGGGGATTTGGGGTGAAATATAATTTATTTAGTGGTCGAAGCCTTTTCACATCCCTCGTCAGACAGACAGGATGTCAGGGAAGGGACCGCGGCCAGTCCTTGATAAAACGTTTTCTTTTTTTTTTTTTTTTTTTTTTCATTGAAGACTTTTTGTCGTCCAAAACCACTACCTTCAAGGCTAAGTGCCAAGCCTACGGGAAAGCAATTTCGGGATAAAAAACAAACAAAAAATCTTCCGCATCAAGCTTCATCTCAGTTGGCGTCTCAAACAAATTTGAAGAATGTATTGCAGTATATCAGTATTTCTGTATTTGTATTTCTGCCCTCCCTAAAATGTATTCCTGTATTTGTATTTCCAAATACTTTTTGCCTCTATTTAAAATGTATTTCCGAAACGTATCGCGATACATTTTTACAGATGTATTTTAGTATCAGTATTTTAGTTACTATATTAATGTATCCGAGTATTTGTATTTCCAAATACATTTTTGAGTATTTCTGCCCAACCCTGTTTCACACAATTGTCGTCCTTCGATTTGTTTACGAGAATGAGTGTTGAAACTGGCTGCGGTCTTGCACGTATATCACAATACACATATAAAGGTTTATCAGTCAGTTTCGCCATTGCCACCAAGATATCGGCTAGCAATAAAATGGGTGTTTCCAGTTCCTCTTCTAGTATACATATTCGTATGTTTTACGGAGTCGGTGTCCTAGTGTGTTAACGCATCGCAGCTCGAAGCACGTGGGGCGCAAGCTCGCACTGCAGAATCCAGGTATACTGGGTTCAACCCCACACCTGCCCGTTTATGTCTGGATGAGCATTCTACCGGAGTGCAGTCCTGTATCACTATAGTGCTACATGTTAAAGACCCCGAGCTAGTGGTTGTACCTCACTGGCGAGATTCGTCATCTACAGCTGAGAACCAAATCTCCCGTTGAGGCAAACTAACATCAGGCTGTCTGAACGTACTAACACTACAATTTATTATTTATTCGCGGTTTCGAGCTACACGAAAAGGACGAAACTATGCCAGTACGTCTTGTTGCTCCTTGTCTTTGACACTCATGTTGTGTTTTTTTACATGGTAGCCCGGAAGCGTTTCTTACATACACTTTGCATCGTATGACATCGTCTTCTTGATCCAGGTCAAATATGCTCCATTAGGTGCGGACTGCGCTCATGTGCTGTATATATACGTGATGAATACGCGTGACATTTCGCTTTGCCTACTCGAATAGTCCCCCGCGGCTTCGCGACCCAAGGTAACAAGGCCCGGTTCCAGACAAAGACGGTTCCTGTACTACGTTTCTTTTTTTTTTTTGTTTTTTTTTAGCCGTATATATGCAGCAAAATTAATCATAGGTACCCAAAGTTAAGCAAAAAAATATTTAAGTATAACAAAAATTCATTTCAAATCCGAGCAGTATAGTAGAGCGAGAAGAGTTTTGAAAATATGATACCATCTGCTATCTGCAGTTATCCAGCATTATTACAAATGAGGCAGTAAAAAAATTATTACACACATTCAAGGCTATGTGATCATAGCAAAAATATAGCTTTCCAATATACCAGGTAAATAGCAGCATCATCGTTTTTAATATATTCAAGGAAAGAAGCAGGAACCTGGACAAAGTAGACAAAAATACCAGCAGAGTTTCAGTAAAAAGCTTTTATTAGCCCGCCAGTTGATCGTGATGAATCACGATCAACTGGCGGGCTAATTGATTTTAACTGGAAACAAGACATCTCTTTTTCTATTTTTTCCACTTAGATTTCGTAAATGCTAAAGAACTTGTAAACAAACAGAAGAAATGATCATATACACACATTCAAATAACATATACCTGGAACAAGATGTCGAGCAACGTGGAACGCCCGTAAAGCGGACCTCTCCGGCGGGGTGAGCAAGGTCATTGGAGATAGCGACGGTGCTCCTCCAGTTTCCGCCGACACAGATCAGAAACCAGTTCAAAGATGCCCGGTACGAGCGCACAAGCAACCAGCTGGGCTCGTTGGTCTAGGGGTATGATTCTCGCTTTGGGTGCGAAAGGTTCAAATCCCGGACGGGCCCGAATTTTTTTTTTTTTTTTTTTTTTTTGTCAATTCAAAATACAGAAATATTTCATTCTCCGGTACCTGAATCCATAAATTGTCACTCGTCTTTTCTCATATTTTCTATTCTTTGTTGTTTATTTTGTAAGGCAAGAACTTGTTTCGTTATTTTTAATTTATTTCATTTTAGCTGAGTTTAGCGACCTTGATTGCTTTAGGACTTGTTCGACCACTGCACTAACATTCTTTTATTTAACCAGATCTTCAATATTAGCCATATCAATATCGCTGCGAAGCAAAGTTTGATTTCGATGATTGTCATCCGAGCGGGAGCGCAAGCTCAGAAAAAAAAATACCATTTTTTTTCAAATCAAATAAAGGCTGTAATAATAGGAATCTGAATTTTTCATTGCTGAAGTAATACCAGTTATTAATATTTCATCTCCAGTTGTTCTTAAACTGTCTGTATTATATTGCTTCTTTGACTTTGTTAATGCTACTACTTTGCCTTGTATGTGGGAATCAATAATAGGCATAAAGTTGTGAACTCACTTTAATTCATAAAACTTTGAGAGCAAAACACTGAAGTTGTATGGACAAAATATTTTGATAAGAATAACTGTATTATGTTTTGTATTTCTAGAAATATTTTGGAAGAACAGTGAGAGAGAGTGCCCCCAGAGACAGTGTCCCCGGAAGAAATACTGACGGCAAAAACTGAGACCCCTGACGTAGCTTAAGGTTAATAAAAAAAGGTACTGTTAAAGCGTTTTTTTTTTTTTTTTTGGTTTTAACATTAAGGTTGCGCTATGTTTTTAGCTTCACGATGGAGTGTTCCGATCCTTATGTATGTTATTGCAGCTGCGAATTTCTTATAAAGTAAAAAACGTGTTCAGATAGTGCATAGAAGATACTGAGCAGGGATGGGCACAATACATGCATATATGTATCAAAATACAAATACAAAATACTTCGTCAAAAATGTATTTAATAACAAATCTAATTGCATTTCCAGAAAAGCATTTAAGTACAAGATACAAATACAACCAAATGTATTTGGTCTCCTCGAAATACTTTTCCAAATATATTCCTCAAAATTTGCGTCAGCAACTTCAGGGCACCTGCAACGGGTTTCTGGGTATCCCATTTTAATTTTGCATCGCACACTCCAGAGTTACTGTGCAAGGCTCTAGTAACGTAATACAAATATAATCACAAAAAAAAATGTAATCAGCTTGGACGTAATAGGTGAAAAAAGTACAGAGCTTCAAGCAGCTTTTTTTGTCGATTACATTTTGGTGTAGACCAACAAAGAACCGAGACGACCAAAACGCGCAGCACTAGCTAAAGAATTTTTTTTTATTGTTGCAACTCGCACCAGTTACCAAACTCTGGACGACCCGCGCATTTAGAATGTTCCAGGCAAAAGTATGGATGGAAATTAGGCTGGAAAGCATCACAAGTTGTCACAGGCACTTATTTAGCCAGTCTGTCTGGGAACGTCGATTTCGTCACGATTCTTGCCCTGGACTAGCACCGTAATCACAAAGTTACTAAGCGCTTGTGCTTGATTGAGAGACACTGCATTCGGTGCAGACCGTAGTTTTCTTCCTGCTCTGGACAGTGACAATAAATTTGAGAAATGTATTTTCGCAAACAAAATTGTATTTAATTACAATTGTATTTGAAATACCCACGTTTTAGTATTTAAATACACACGTCAAATACATTACCCAATTTGTAATTAAATACGAATCAAAATACACAAAGTATTTGAAATACTGCCCATCCCTGGAATCGCAACTCCTCTTAATCAGATATGTTTGTAAGATGTCAAAATGATACCAAAAGTATATTAAATACTCCAGATTGTATGGAGAACTTCAGAGAGACACAAGTCTAGGCGAAAGTGAGAAGACTCGACGACTTTATTGCTTTCTTTACGACAGCAAATGTTGGCAGTGAACACGTCTCTTCATAGAATCGTAGTGGCTACCACCCGCAGCGGTAGATCCTTGACGATTTTCTGTAGAAAGAAAAAATCATTTAGAGTTTTAATTCATAACGCTGTACTAAATTTGACCATTGCTGTTACTTTAAAATCAAAACAAGTTCATCTACTCACACTTCTTCTTGCGGAGGAGGGTGGTGTAGTCTCCATAGGTACCGAGACCATATCCGTAGTTCAGACCGTAGCTGCCGAGGCCGTGTCCGTAACCGAAGTGGCCGGCACCGTAGCCGAGAGAGTTGACGCCGTATCCATAGACTGGAGCAGCGTGGGCGTAGGAAGCCACAGCTGGAGCGGTGTGGTATGTCTGGTAGCTAGCAACAGCTGGAGCGTGGGCAACGGTGGCGACGGCTGGGGCAGCGTGGTAGGTCTGGTAGCTGGCGACAGCTGGAGCAGCGTGGACGGTGGACACCCTGGTCACGGCTGGAGCAGCGGCGTAGGTGGCGACTGGAGCAGCGTGGTAGGCAGCGAAAGCTGGAGCAGCGGCATAGGTAGCGACAGCTGGAGTAGCCTGATAGGTAGCGACCTTGCTGAAAGCTGGGACAGCGGCGTAACTCGCGACTGGAGCAGCGTGGTAGGCAGCAACAGCTGGAGCAGCGGCATAGGTAGCGACAGCTGGAGCAGCCTGATAGGTAGCGACCTTGGTGACAGCTGGGGCAGGGGCGTAACTGGCAACTGGAGCAGCGCAGTAGGCAGCAACAGCTGGAGCAGCGGCGTAGGTGGCAACAGCTGGAGCAGCTTGGTAGGCAGTGGCCACAGTGCGGCTCAGGGCTGGGACAGCCACGCTGTAGCCGGTGAGACCAGAGTAGCCGAAGCCGTTGTTAAGTCCAACAGCGTGGCCGTAGCCAAGACCATGACCGTAACCGAGGCCAGAATAGCCAAGACCGTGGCGGTAGCCGAGGCCGGCGTAGCCCAGGCTGCCGTAGCCGAGGTCATGGCCGTAGCCAAGGCCACCCTGGACGTAACCAGCGATGGCGCTGCTGGCAAGGGCCAGGAAGAGACAGGCGTGGAACTGCAACAAGGATAATGCGAACATATTTACATTACCAAATCTTTGTCAATTCAGTATTGCTTATTCCACACAGTGGGTGATAACTGAATTGTTCTCCTTTTTATTAGCAACAATTCTAATGTCAGCTTGGATACTTTGGTTTAAAAACGCAAATACACACAATACACTGCAAACCATTTATAGTTTTCTTAAGACAAGCTCATGCTAAACGCGTTGGAAACTCCTGACTGGGTCGAGCGTTCTCAGAAGCGATGGATTTAGGTGATAACAGGATATAACTCGTGATATATCAATATATAAAAGTGGGCACCTTGCAGAAAAAAACGACAACGTTTCGCATGCATATGAAAACATTTATTTCTACCAAGCATTTTTTTAAATCTCTTCTTTACATGCATTCCTCCCATATCGCTTTAAATGAGAGACGGTTCAAATAAATGCCTGTTTGCCTTGCTTAAAGCGCACTAGGGGTATTGCTGGAGTTATTTGTTTTGATAGAGCTTCGAGAACAAAAGAGAATCCACCTTAGCGTCTTTGTCAGCTTCACCGGTATTTAATGAATGTAGACCGTCAATAAATATGGTGTACATTAGTGCAAAAAATTACTAGCGCGCATAACATTGCTCAATATGACCTTATGGTAAAGAACGCGTTGAGACTATCTCCAAATTACAAGAATCAAAGTAAATACGTGCAAAGTTTATTGTGTATTATATATTTAAAAATCATTAAGTATGTAAAAATACGACCTATACTCGACGGCCAACAAATAAAGAGCTCATGTTTGAAGGTAACATTCCAGCATAAATAGGCAGTCTAAAAATTTGAAATTTGCCTAAATATTAAAATAAAAAAGAAAACTGCAGCTCAAAATTTTTAATTTACGCAGCTTAGTCATGAAAAGCAACCATCTCCAGTTCATAAATTAAATGGCCAACTTTTTCTCTGCATAGTTAAGGTTAAAACCTTCTACAAATAAGAGAGTCTAAATAACAAGACTTATTGAAGAGAACGCAAGCTCTATATGCGGCATTTCCAAGTTGATGTACTCACTCCAGTCATGATGTAGGTCTACAGAAGAGGTATCCAACTGCGAACTTCGACTTAAAAGTTGGAGCTTATATAGGCGAAAAGCGAGTCAGAAACAGATATGCGTTCTATCAGAAAGCTGGAAAAACAAACAAGTAGATGAGAAAGAAAATACGTCATCGGTATTTGCAGGAAGGTGACCGTTGCGTAAGTTAAAATTATTCAGTTATTTCTAACATGTACGTGCACGCAATGAATCAATTCAGCACAATGCGGAGAATGCGTTGTGCACGGTAGCATTAACTGGTTTGAAGAATGCCTCTGTATTCTACTCTAGGCACACGATGGAACGCAGAAGTTTTATTATTATACAAACGCTGCCTCGCTGCATTCTCGAACAACTTTTTGTGATGTTAAACTGACCGTGTTTATTCAAGGTGACGTGAGCTCTTTTCAAATTACATCTTAAATAGCCTAATGACGTGCAGCCGATCAGAGTTGTAGCTACTGACGGTGTTAAAAACGCCGGTCGTAGCTTATGCTCGCGTTTAGATTCGCGATTTGTTCTTCGGCGTTTTTATCACCTAATTCCGCCATATCATTCGATGTTTGGCGATCATGTTCAAGATTCTCCATGCCCTGTCTTTCTTAAGGGACCGTGAAATGGCTTTTCATCTTTTTCCAAATGAAGGCCCCAGTTACTTTGCAATGTTCATAGAAACCGAAGCAGGAGTTCGTTTTCTTAATATTACTTCCAGATTTGCACACAAAAAATAAAAAGAAGAAAACTCACGTTTGATTTTCTCCTTGGCTTGACTGGACTCGGCTACCATGGGAAATAATGTGGCCGTGACGTAAAGTATTCCTTTCTAGCGGAAACGGAAATTCTTCCAGCCAAGCGAGGGAGCCGCGTCAGTAAAGCATCGCGTTGCGTCGACGTTTCGACGCAAGGAGGTCGAAACGTCGTCCCCTACTGAGGTTATCATGAACGCTGGTTGGTTCATGGGACTCGGTCCACGAACCTTGTGCGATCAACGCCGTGGATATGGATACATCGCAGCTGAGTAAAGTGCAGCTTAAAAAGTTATGGTATACTGAATGCCTTGGCCCTGCTCCGTACGCCGGGCCGCCCACATGACGAGAACTCGACCAACGAAAGCTGTGATAATTCGACGCCAGAATCGGCCGCGGAAGAGTGGCGATAACTCAGTACGAAATGGTACATTCATATTTTGGCTTCGAACACAAAAGGCTAGAAACGAACCTCTCGTGCTCTCCTTGACGCTGTGGCTTATGCAACCGATATTGAATTCGGTCATTTCAGTCGAAAGTATTCATCGATAATTTCATCGTTTTCGAGAGCAGTTTGAGTGACACACTACTCGTACCCAATACTGAAGCTAAATTCAAATGACGTGCTCGGAAAACAGGTTGAAAAAGAGACTCCAACATTGTTGATGTTGCGGTTACTTTGCTAAGTGAGTAAGCTACCGGTGATTAAAGAAATAATCGCCGCAACTCTTTTATTAATTCACCCGTCCATACACCATATTTGTTGTGATTGTTCGAGCGAGAGATTGTAAGAGATAATATTGTTTTTATTTGCAAAACTTTCATGCCAAAAATTTGGATTTTGCTTTTCTAATGTCATGTGCTAGATGTCTTTTGATCCCGTAAATTATATGCAGTCAGTAAAATTCTGTCTCAAATCGTTTAATGGTCCCTTTAAGCTGTAAGGGACGTGGTCTTGGGTGCGCGCTACACAGAAATACGGAAGGTGTACGTGCAAACAAACTACATCAGCCGGTCGAGAGGAAGCTTTCAGGAGCGCGTTAAATAATACATCCCTGCATTATTTAACGCTTTGCGTGGAACTTTAAGTGATTTAACATGCATTGGCGCGGTGAAACTAGACGTCAAAAATGTTTTCAAACGCTCGCTGGTACTACCTGTGGATAAAAAGTTGTAATCGTTTGCATAGTTCTTCCTTATGTATAATGATGTATGCAGTGTTTTCTTGGCTGCCTGGACCTACGCAAAAGCATTTCTGTTTTCGTGAGCCAGTACGCTATCTTCTGTAAATTTTTCTTTTCAGTAAATAAATTATTATTTATTTACTACAAGGGAAGAATCTCTTAACAACAAACTTGTTTTTTCTTGCATCGATCACATCAACGTCAGAAGTTCTGGAGTGTCTGCTAAGTCTTCTGTCACCTCGCAAAAGCTAGCCGACCATTATTTTGTGGTGTGCCAAATAAACGGCGGCATTCTATCAAAACAAGACAAGGAACGTCCAAGGCAAATTACAATCATTAACAGTCACACGTTTGACAGATTAATCGCATCATATGATTGAAATGGCTTAATAAGCATAGCGACAGTCTAACTGCTTACTCGGAGTTACTTGACGCGTTCGACTATTGTACAGAACAGAGTACGAAAGTCATTACGACTAAGAAACGAAGACAGCAGCATGTTTGGCTAACAGCAGATGTTCCCTGAGCTATTAAACTAAAAGATATCCTATGGGCACGTCTCCGCCGGTCACCTAACAATCCGCAAGTAAAACTACAATACATAAGCCAAAGAAACCGCGTAACTGCTGTCATACGCTCTGCAAAGCGAAAGCACTAACACAGTAAGTTAGTCGACGCGCGTTCTGATACCGCAAAAACTTGGTCCCTGGTCAATGAAGTGAAGTTCGGCAATATACGACGCACTATCGACGAAGTTATTAACAAACCTTTTACTCAAATATGACCCTTGTGGCGAATAGTTTAATTACTTTTTTGCTTCCATTTCTGGCGTATCTTGCCATGGACAAATTGAGACAGACAAATAAGAAAAATCTTGTTTAAACAGTGCCTATCTGCCAAACATGATGGAAAAAGATCTACATTCGCTGCTATTTAGCTTCCGGTCTCACAAAACCCCTGGCGTCGATAATATAAAACTGAGCGATTTGCACCGCAATTTTCACGTTTCAAAAAATGTTCTTCTCCACATACTAAAATTAATCATTATCACTGGAGTTTTCCCCCTAAATATTAAAAGCGCAATTCTAAGGCCCCTTTATAAGAATGGCGCACGTGACGATGTAAGAGACTATCGTCCCATTTCTATTCTTCCGTGTTTGGCGTTGGTTCTGGAAAAACACATTTTAAAATCGATGAACGACTTTCTGGATAAATACAACCTTATATCGCCCAACCAATACGGTTTTATTGCCGGCCGCAGCACACAATCCTTACTTGAGGACATGTCTGATATCTCGCACACGACGTTCGACAATATTCAATTTACATGTGCCCTTTTTCTCGACGTATCCAAATCATTTGATTCCATCAGTTACCAAATACTCTTAAACAATCTTTACAACTGCAAAGTTCGAGGCTCTTTTTTTTTTTTTTTTTTTTTTGCTGCTTCAAAATTTTTTGACAGACAGATCACAGCAGGTAATGGTTTGCAACGAAAAAAGTGCTAAGGTATTTCTCAAGTCAGGTGAACCGCAAGGGTCAGTTTTGTCCCCATGTTGTTTAATATTTACGTCAACGATCTCGCTAGATTAACATCAAGATGCTCAGTTTTTCAATACGCAGATGACACATTGCTGTTAACCACTTATGTCAGCCTGCGCAGTGCATTAAACACACTACAAATAAATTCTACAAAAGTCATGGACTGGTTTGATGCCAATCAAATCAGAGTGAATGTACAAAAAACAAAGCTTATTTGTTTCCGCCTTCCACTCAAACGAGAGTGCATCGACATCCATTTTATATTACAGTCCTCATCTTGTGTGTCTTGCACCTGTACACCCATTCCGTACCACAATACAGTCAAATACCTGGGACTTTGTTTCGAGAGCGATCTCTCCTGGAACACATGCCTTGATTATCTGGCTAAAAGACTACGAGGTGTATCTTGTCTGTTATACTATACAAAAACGTTCCTCCCAATCTACGTCAGAAAGACAGTCGTGAATGCTCTTGCGTACGGAGTTCTTCGTTATGGAATTACTATCGTTGCCAATTGCTCAACCTTCTGGAGAACGAAAATTGACGCCATTCTGAAGAACATCGCGAAAAATGCTGCATATAATCCGAATCTAAACCAGGACGATGATATATTCCCTTATGTGGGCTTGCCGCGTTTTCTACCCCTTTTTCATAGATGTGTCATCCTAAGACATTATTGGCTCAGTTAATTTAAAATACCTAGAACTGCCCAACGCTCTATAAGAAACAGTGAACACTTTATAATTCCTCGTGTATACACTAAATATGGAAAATGTGTTCGGTCGTATTATGTTCCTCACATATTTACAAATTACCATAATTTCTTGATCAAATCGACTCTCAGCGTGTCCTAAAAAACGCACAAACAAATTGTGCTAGTAGCAGCCTATTGAATTATACACGACTGGAATCTCTCTAGGACCGACAGGAGGCTAGTTATTGTTACCCTGTAAGTGACTGTTCGACCATCAGCCTATATGTCCGCATTATGTTTAAGTCTGTATATGTATTTAAGTGTATCTTTACGTGTAGATCTAGGCATGCACGTCTGTATGCGTTGCGGTGCACTCGATGTTGTATATACACGAACTCATCTCTGTTACGTGACGGCGCGGTGGTGGCGCGTCGGTCGCACTTACGGTCTGGGGCTGTGGGCAGAAGTCCCCATGCCAGACGTGTATTCCTGCGTTGTTTTAAAAGGAACCAGACAAAAACCTGCCTTCACGTCAAAACGCCACGACTGGGGCTG